TTTTTATGGTATAAGCCGGATATGTATCTTTAGAAAACACTATTTCCACAACTATTTGCATAATAATATTTAGTTCAACTAACAAAAAACATTTGAAAGGAAAAGGGAATATTCTAATTAAGACATTTTTAGTTTCAATCTTTAACAAAATTTGGATCCTTTAAATACCATATTTAATTGTTTTATTGACATTCTGGAAGGCTTCTCTGGGCTTCCCTAAACTTCTAACAAATTGGCAGAAATTACCAATGGGAATACTATTACTAAAACTGTATGCAAAGGCCAAACTCATAAAAAATATTGGTATGTTAAGGACAGTTATTTTTAAAACATTTACGGAGTGATGAAAACTATAGTCACCAGGTCATTTCAGAATTCTTTTTATTATTATTTAGGTTGTAAATTTCTTCTGGAAATAAAACAATGTCACAGATTTAAACCCTGAAACCTCCCATTCTAGAATGTGAGCTAAAGAATATTCTTATAATACCATATTTGTGAATGGTGTCACTTGGAATGATAGCTTGCTTTAAGCAAGGCAGAACATTTAGAGAGAGAGAGGCAGGCTGAAAGACTTTTGTACAAATTATCTCATTTATCTCATTTTAAAAAACTGGCTAGAAGCAGGCAACTCACTACCAAATGGAGAAATATTTTCCTTCAATGACTACTTTTCCTTATTCCATACTTGCTAAGCTATAGGCTTAAGAATGAAGCCTCTAATCAAAAGGAGGAGCCAACGCCCTACTAATGATCCAGAAACCCATCATAACTATCCAGGAGAAAGGAGACCGTGACTGCCAAAAGATGCTTCCTAGGCCCCTTGCTCACAACTCAGGCAGATATTCCAATTTGCCTCCACCTACCTCTGACCTACCCCCACAGAGATGAAAGAAAAGAACAGGAGGTTCATATAATTTTCAGGAATATAATCAGCTTTTTCTTGCTGATGATATTGGTATATACAACCCAGATGCCTTGCCTGGATTCAGACAACTTCTTGCCCAGTCTGTTTGCCTAATTCCCCGATCTCTGGTCCCTTATCCCTGCCTGAGTTATAAATCTCTGTGGCAGTACTGTAGAGGGCTGGAGCTGGCCCATGCTGGCTCACAAGAATGGACTGTCTCAATTTCAAAAATTTTGTGTGCCTATTGATCCCACTTTGGTAGCTTCAAACTGACTGTGGCAGGAGTATTTACACCAGGGAAACTGGCACATGCTAAAAATTCTCTCTTCTCCCAATCCCACACCCCCCTCACCACCCCTCATGACTCCTTCTAATCCACTGCCTAGTTTAAATTTGCATGCTGATCCCAATTTTACCTAATTTCCACAGATGTATCATCATGCCTACCTGATCCTTTCTGTCTGCCAGGTTCATAGTCCCGTCTCTTAATTTACCCTGTCTTAGCATGGGAGTTATAATTAGCCAAAAGCTGCCCTACTAGGGGAGATAAATATCCCTCTCATCCAGAGTATGACCTGGTATGCCAGTATGATCAGAGTATAAGTAAATCAAAGTCTACAGGTGGATGGTATAGCCACTAGCTGTTCAACCTATCCTATTTCTAATAACTAACTCCTCTTTCTTGGCACCCCTAATAAGGGCAGTATGTTATCTGCGTAAGAAAGTATCTTTTGGCAACAGAGGTGACAACTTCAAAAATGAAAAACTATTTAGAGCAGAAATTTTTTTTTCTCTTTCCTACAACTTCTCCTATGCTCTGTTGCCATATCATTTGCCTAAAACATAGATCTTATCATGACATGAAAATGCTCAACAACTTCGATGGTTCACTGTAGCTTACCAACTCAAGTCTAACCAAATAAGCAGTGTTTTAGATATGATCTAATCTCAGTTTACCTCTCCAACTATACTCCAAGCACTGGCCCTCATGCAGAAATATTCAAGCCAACCTGAACCAGTCAAAGTTTTTTAGAGGCATCTGGCATTTTTAGCCATCTGTTTTTGCATAGATAGTTCCCTTCATTTGAAATATTCTTTCTCCAAACCAAATCCCAATGTTCAGATTCTATCTTGCCTTCAAATGCCAACTCAAACAACCTTTCTTCCATTGGACATCCCTGGTCTTTTCAGACATAAGTGATCTGTAGGAATGTAATACCTATCCATTGAAAATGACGAGTTGCCCCAGGAATTAATCTGGGGGGTTTTTTGTTTTTGTTTTGGTAATTCTTCATTTTTTTTAAATAATTATTTTTGTAATTATTTTTCTGTAATTCTTTAAAAGTATTTAGCCCTTGCTGTTATAGTTACATGAATCTTCACCCCTTTATCTGATTTCAAACTTTCTCTGATTCTTTAAATTATCTCACTACCCACAACCTGTATCACAATGTGGTTCAAATATTTATGCTGAGTAACTGACTGGCATTAAATCAGGTTAGAAAACCACACTTGAATTTTTAAATTATATATTATTACTCATTATGAGCATAGATGTATATTAATTGTTCAAATATATAGTTCAAATTAATGTAAAGTCATTATTTAAAAAACTTAAAAACTACATAATTATTAAAACTAGAAACTGAAATATTCATCGTGCCATTCAGTAGAGGCATAAAAATTGTGACAAGAATTTAATAAAATGTCCACAGATACTGTACATATATTTTAAGTCTTAAAATTTTCTTTACATAGCTCTTGCAACCTTTTGTTTATTTTAAAGATTTTTATATTATTTTTAAAGCTATTTTGAGGTATATTTAGCACACAAAAAAGGACATATTGAATGTGTACATTTTGATAGGTATTAATATATGTGTATACTCATGGATCTATCAGACTAGTCAAGAATGAACATACTCATCACATCACAAGTTTCCCATATACTTTTGTATCCCTCTCATCCACTCTCCACTTGTCCCCAGGCAAAAACTGATCTGGTTTTTGTCACTATAGATTATTTTGCACTTGTCAGAATTTTGATTAATGGAATCATATAGTGTGTACTCCTTTATTTGGTCTGACTTCTTTCACTCCATATAATATTTTAATAATAGAGACCCATCCACTTTTTTGTGTGTATCACTAGTTGGTTTTTATTGATTATTGAGCAGTATTTCATTGTATATATGTAAAATGGTTTATCCATTTACTTATTGGAAATTTGGGTTGTTTCATTGTTTGGCTACTACAAATAAAGAAGCTGTGAACATTTGTACCTAAGTCTTTGCATGGACATATGCCTTCATTTCTCTGAGGAGTGGAATGACTACATCATATGAAAAGTATATCCTTTTAAAAAATTTTGATGGGACTATATATGGTTGATAAGGATCTTATAATTAATACTAAATTTTAGATCTCAATGAGAAAGAATAATTAGGACTATATAACAATAGACAAAATAATGCAAAACTCATTTGAAATCCAAAAGTACAAAATCTGGAGATTATTCACCCCTTTTAATTATTATTAGCTTGTTCCCATTATTGATGATGATTCAGAATTAAATGTAATTCTACTGAGTTTGAAATCTTCCTACATTAAGGAATTGAACAACTAGAAATTACTCCAAAAACTTTCTTAACCATAGAGTCATATCAGGATCTTGTTAAAAAAGATTTTGTAACAAGGTAATTTCATGGTCATATACTGACTTGGTATAACCTCCCATTTTTTTAATAAATGAAGTAACTGATCTAGAAAAGTAAAATATTCATAATTCATAACAGCCATCATATTAATGAACTTTTCGGTATGCTGTGCTGACTTATGTCATACTTCAAGACAGTAAACAGATTCAAGATTCATAAGATATTACCTCCACAATAAAAACAGATGGCTATTCTCTACAGAATAGCAAACAAATGTATCAGATGAGAACATCAATATTTATCATATGGATCATTAAAAAGAAATTAAGCAAAATTTTGAACTACATGCAGCATTAAAAAATCAAACATATTTGAAGAACTTACCTAAAAATAGTCAAATAAGCAAATAAAAATAACTGTTATGTTGCCTTTTGGGACCTGTTCTCAGAAGTCCCATAGTATCCCTTCTGCTATTTACTGAGGCAGTCATAAAGGCCCACCAAGTTTTATTTTTTTTTATTTTTTTATTTTTTTAAAGATTTATTTATTTTTTTGAGAGAGCGAGAATGAGAGAGAGTACACGAGAGGGGGGAGGGAAGGCCCACCAAGTTTTAAAGATGAAGGTGGGAGACAGGCAGAGACACAGACTTCCCCTCTTGACAGAACTGGCAAGAGTGTGGAATTGGAAACGTTGTCACAGCCACGTTTGGAAAATTCAATCCACAACAGCAAGGCTCTTGCTGAATGTACTTGAGATATCTCAACTTTTAACTCAGTACAACTGCAGATAATTTATTTTAGTCTATATAAATATATTCAAAAATCAGGCTTAATGTAACATGAAATTGTAAATTAATCTAAAAGAGAAACTTAGTCAAATGCATTTTTAAAAAAGAACGCTTCTAGCATGGTGAAAATGTGTGATTTGGGTTATTCATTTGGTTACATCTAATTGGTTAATAAATGGATGCATACTTTTGGTTGTAAATGTGTGAGTGAATAAAAGGCAGCTATAACCATAGCTGTCTCTCTACCTGCCTGTGTATTGATATATGCACACACAGATATAATATATATTACTAAAGCTAATTCAGGAATGTCATTTTTTTTTTTTTGAAACTGTTTCTTTTTCATCAACCTCATTTCCATTTTCTGTTTAAGAGTGTGTGGAAGAAGGGCGCCTGGATGGCAGTCTATTAAGGGACCGACTCTGTTTCAGCTCGGGTCATGATCTCAGGGTCCTGATACTGAGCCTCACCACCATCTCTGAGCTCAGCAAGCAGTCAGCTTGAGATTCTTCCTCTCCATCTGCCCCTCCCCCACCGTCTCAAATAAATAAATACGTCTTTAAAAAACAAAAATTTTAAATTAGCATTTAAAAAATAAGGAGTGCGTGTGGAAGAATAGCTTTAAGACCACTCAGTGGTTGTTCCTACCCATTCAGTCGCTGGAACGGTGGTGCTGTGGTCCAGTGTTCCCGGGCAGGTTGGTCCCTCCACTCCAGCAGAGAACCATGGAAGAGATGCAGAGGACACCTGCATGCCCTCACACCCATCTGGGCCCTCAGGTTGAGTAAGAGCCAGTTCGGGAGCCGGAGCAGTCCATTCACCCTGAAATTCTTCTTTGGCCACAGCCATTTCGGCAGGGGTCTGCTCCTCCTTTCCAATCCCTTCATCCAACCCCCTCCCACCGGGGGTTCACGGAAACGGTGCCCCGCATGCGCAGAACTTCCGGGGCATCCACCCCATCAGACCCTCCGAGGGAGATGGCAGTGTCCACCTCGTGCACAGGAGAGTCTGTGTTCTGCCGCACCATGACCGGCGCCTTAACCTAGGAGGCCTCCATGAGCGCCTGGCGCTCCGCCCTGGGATTGGGAACCACCGGAAGTGGTGGCTTAGGGAAGGTTCCAGGAGCCGAGCGGCTCCAGCAGCTGCGGCAAACTTCAGCTCGCTGGTCAGTATTCCCCGGGGATATGGCACTGACTTCAGCTGGGTTTTCAGTGGCAACAAGGGCATGAGCTGCTAACAGAAGCTTCTCCCAGGTTCTCCTCAGATTTATGAGATCATGCCATCGTTTTGTTTTGTTTTGTTTTTTTCTTTCGTAATGTACTGCGCTGTTTGGAAGTCAAGGTTGGTGCCGCCTCAGTGGGTTCCTGCTGCGAGGAAATTGAGCACGTCCTTTTCCTTCATTTGCAGGACATCTGGGGCTCCAGACATTGTGGAAATTTCACTTTAATTTATGAGGGGAACCCAGACACCGTAATAGGAACCCCACTCTGCATAGCAAAGAAGGAATATAATTTTTAATAACTAAAGAAAAGCATATTAGCAAATTAGATTGTGCTCAGTGTAGCTACAGTGAACATTTTGTAAAAGAGACATGAAATTCTAGATCTGTAAGAACTCAGCTCTTTGCAGCTAAAGGTCACTGTTAGGGGCTGACTTGTGTCTTCCCTCAAAATTCATATGTTGAAGCCCTGATCCCCATTAGCTTGAATGTGATTTTATATGAAGAGAGGACCTTTAAAGAGGTAATTAAGCAGGGGCGCCTGAGTGGCTCAGTCATTAAGCGTCTGCCTTCCACTCAGGTCATGAACCCAGAGTCCTGGGATCCAGCCTCGCATTGGGCTCCCTGCTCAGTGGGGAACCTGCTTCTCCCTCTCCTCCCCACCTGTGCACTCTCTGTCACTCTCTCTCTCTCAAATAAATAAAATCTTAAAAAAAAAAAAAAAAGAGGTAATTAAGCTAAAATGAGGCCAATAGAATGGACCCTAGTCCAATACGAGTGCTGTCCTTATAATAAGAAATTTGGACATGCAAAGAGATACCAGGGCATGCATGCACAGAGGGACAACCATGGGAAGACCCACAACCAAGGAGAGGCCACAGAAGCAGCCAACTCTTCCAGCCTCCACAACTGTGAGCAAATAAATTTGTGTTGTTTAAGCCACCTAATCAGTGGTAGTTTGTTACGGCAGCCTAATAAACTAATACAGTCACTCAATCCCCTATTTGGAATTAGATATCTCTGTTTTTCTAAATGTTCTATTAAGAGTTTTCTATCTGAAAACTAAATAAAATGGGGGCGGGGGTGGGGGGAGTCTATTCTTTTTAAAACTTCATGTTTCCCTCCTACCCTTTTGCCCCTCATGCACTCATGTCTGAGGCTCTCCGGTCTTGTGTGTTTGGGATCCTTTTATAAAAGACAGTTCTGAGTATATTCAAAGCATGCTATTACCACAATTCCCTAGGAAAAGCACAACGATGGTTTAAGAGGAGAAGTTTTATTACGAAGTCAACCTAAAATTTAAATATCATTTTGGTTAAATTTATCATACAAAGTGAACAAAGGGTAGTGGTAAGGCTGAAGCATTTAAGACTAGAGTTAATGGCCATGAAAGGCGTTTGCAGTCCTCTGTGATCACCAACAGCATTGCCCTTTCCGTACAACAACGATGCCACCATCACACAGTCATTATTTAAGCACAAGCTGTTAGGAGAAACAACAGTAACAGCAAACACCTGTGTTTCAGTTAAAGAGGGGAAAATATATTCAGTTTTTTTTTTAAGTTGCAATTGTTTGTGTCCACTTGCATAAGTAAGTTGGTTTGTGTCTGCATATTTGTGCTAATATATGAATTAGGTGAATAAATTAAACCATTTAGGAACTGTGTATACCTGGATATATTTGTTAATCTAAGCCACTGTTCCCTTACCTATAAAATGGGGTTAATATATCTCCAAACGATGTTGTGGGGGGTATTAAATAAGAAAATATGTGCAAAACTCTTGGTGGAGTGGCTGATGCATGCAAGAGATCAATAAAAGTTAGTAATTATACAATTTTATTGTCATAAAGCTCAGACATTGAATTCTTCAGAGAACTTAGTTATCTTAGGGCCAGAATTATGCCCTAGAGAGTGGACTCTTTGAGTATTATAGGTTGAATTAAATTATTGTAGGTTGAACTGAACTAAAATAGACAGTATATTACATTTACCATTGCTTTATATTTCTGATACTTTCTAGAAGTATTCTAATAATGCAAAGAAAAAAATTATCAAGTAGTAAAGTATTTGGCAGGGCAAAATAAACTACCTTAAGGAATCTAACTCAGTTTAGGCTTGATTCTTATAAGCCCAATGCTTTTAAACAATATGTATTCAGTAACCATGTACTACTATAAGCAGACGTGTTTCAAAGAAAATTAAATAACTTTGTTGATATTCTAATTTTCTTTGTTGATCAAAATATTTTTCCTTAGCTATCTAAAGTTGATGAATTTGATTTGTGATCTTAAAAGCTTCAATCTTTGTTTCTGAAAAATGGCAAAACATTTTGCTAATTTTCAACTTTCAAGGGTCTGAAATCAGGTCAAGGCTCAAAATTGACAGTGGCATGAGTCCACTCAATTTAGCAAAAGTGTGTTCTCTCTGTTCCTCTCTAAATGTTACAGAGAATTCATTATCTCTTTTTTTACATTTAAAAAACAATAAGCCAAGGATATCAACACATCATGAACTCATAATAGGAAAGCCTATTTTAATTATTTTTTTTCTTGCTCTTACAGTTTACCATAACAGAGGATTTCTAGAAAGGTGTGCCAGACCCACAGAACAAAGAGAATGCAGTGTAGTGAGGAGATCACTAGGATGGAATTCAGGAATCCAGAATCCAAGTCTGACTTCCTACTTAAAGTCGTATCATCTTCGGTAAATATCACTAAATTTCTCTGGGAAGATAGGGAGTATGATGTATGTGTGCCCTTCTCTATGAGGATATGATTATGCTTTGGAAAAAATGAGAACACAATTTAAATATGAGCCTTCTTTTCTGGAAGATAGGGAGTATGATGTATGTGTGCCCTTCTCTATGAGGATATGATTATGCTTTGGGAAAAAATGGAGAACACAATTTAAATATGAGAACACAATTTAAATATGAGAAATTTAAACCATCTACTATGGCATATATATTTTTTTCTATGAAAGCAAGTATTGAGTAAGCCAATGCCACCTACGGATCTTGTGTGAATTTAATAATGTAGTTCTAATATTTACTGCATGCATATTATGCACTATCTATTGCCTGGCTACCATAAACTAGGGATCTGAAATACATTACTGTCTAATCTTTAAAGTGACTACTTTAAAGTAGTCATTATTATTCTCGTTTGATGGAACAAAAGCTACCAAGAGCATCATTCCTATATGTTTGGTCCATATGTGCAGGGGAAAAGGTCTCAGTTAGAGCCAGAAAACATTATTATTCCCATTTTAAAGATGGAGCTTCTGACGCTCAGGAGGGTGAGTTGACCAAAGTCAAATATGGAAGATTAGTGACAGATACAGACTCCAACACTGCTGGGAGACAGATACTGGAAGCTCCATTGAACCTCTGGGAAAACTGAGGCTCAGAGAGATTAAAGAATCTGCTGTAAATTTCCCAGGTGGAAGATGGTGAAGCCAGGCTTTAAAGCCAGGTCTGTTTATTGAAAAGTTAATCTTCTTTCCACTAAAAAAATGAAGCACATTGGATAAGTAAAATATGCCTCCTCCTTTCATCTAACAAACAGCTGTAAATAAATCATTTTGTGTTTTACAGCTCCTTTGTTCACTTTCTTCTCCCTCCTTGGCTACAAAGCCTCTCTCTGCTCTTCCACCTGATTTAGCTGGTCTCCAAAAGTGAAACCTGTTCTATTTTCTTTCCAGAGAGAAAAGCTTGTGTAGCATTACACATTCTATTTTTTTTTTTTTTTTTGCTAGCATTGCTTATATTGCTAAGAGTTCTTAGGATTATCTTCCTTAATGATGACAGATCTTTGATATATTAGATTTAGGAGAACAGCTTCAGCATAAGGATGAACTGACAAAAACTCTCTATAGAAGTTCAGATAGGAAAACTTTGTACCACTGCAAATCAGGATTTTAGTCAACCCTCTTTGTTCGCAGTGTCCTATGGTGCCAATATTCTTTAGTGAACCTTCTCCCTAGGAAGCCTTCCTTCTTCAACTACCTCCTTTAGATTCACTGTCAGGTGCTTTAATACTTTTACTACTTTATTTCTGCTCAATGCAAACTTTTTAGTTTCTCCTTTTCTAGTTAGCACCATTGGAAACCAGATGAAAGGCAGCTTCCCACTTTGCACTGATAGTTGATCAAGATAAACCGAGAAACACAAACGTTACAGAGATGATATTGTACAAACTACACTAAGGTCAGGTAACCAGAAACCCAATAACAGGGATTAGGGTAAAAATCAGCACAGATAATCTTCAGCTTCCAATGTTTGCCCTGAAAAGACTCAATGCTAGACTATTTCCTTTGCTCTACATAAAAGAACCTTGTTCCGCTTTCAGAGTCCTTCATTGTCATGAAATCAGTCATTTGAATCAGAGTCCTTAAGGACATTTTCCATGCTGAGAATACTCCTTTGAAAGGTGTCTAATTATCCTATGGTCCTGACAGCTACCCAGCATGCCCTAGGACTTGACAAGTTATTTTCCACCTTTTGACCACACAAGAAACTCTACAATGTAAATACTGCATTATCAGAAATATTTAACTCACTTCTTAGCTCATAAATTCTTCTATTTAACAAGAAAGAGTCATTAATGGATGCAGTAAGACATCATGATTAGAAGGATAGGTTTTTAGAGTCACTCAGGAACAAATTAAATCCAAGATTGGTCACTTTCTAGCTTTGCTACCTTCAGTAGTCACTTAACTCCCTGTGGCTCAATTTCCTAATCTGTAAAACAGAGTAATTGTACCCACCTTATAGGTGAATTTGATCATCTTGCTTCTCTTTATCCAAATAATGGCAATGATTAACAGCACCCTATACATAGATGGTTTACCAAATCCAAAAAGTAACAGTTGTATTAGGAGTATTGCAAGGATTATTGTATAGATCACTATAAA